ATGAAAATGAAGAAAAAAAACTCATCAACTTCATAGAACAAAGTATTACAAAGGAACAATATCATGAAACGAAAAACGTTCGAGTAAAAAAAAACAGAATTAAAATGAGACGAAAAAAAAATCAATAGACTACAAGACAACAAAGAACAATAAATAAATAACGAAAACGTTCAACTGTTGTAAAATTGGTAGCACTGACACATTAATAAATGATAAGAGAAAGAAAAAAAAAGACTAAAATAATGATTATTTATCGCATTTTGTTAAATAAATTAAGTACACTGTCGGATTCTTTATTTGCACGACATTTCGTAAATACATTCCAAAATCGAAGTGTTTCATCCCCTGCTCCTGTCACTATTGATTCGCCATCTGGTGATACAGCTAAATATAATACACGAAATGTATGTCCAGTTAAACGAGCTAATTGTAACATTGATGGATATTTCCAAACAACAATTTGATGTTGAGAATAACCATGCTTAAAAATAAGATATACATATATTTTTATTTAAATTAAATTAATATTTATTTACTGTTGATACAAGTTCATTTGAATGTTTTGACCAAGCTAAATTACATACCTAATAAAAATAAAATATAGATTATAAATGAAAAAAAATATATATTAAATTCTAATTTTTTTACTTGTGATCCAGTATCAATAGATTGTAAATTTTGTGCTGTTAATGTATTCCAAAATCGAATATGTCGATCAGCTGTACCACCTCCACTAGCTAAAAGACCTTGTTGATGTGGACTCCATGCAATAGCTTTAACAGCTGCTGTATGATCTGTATAAACTTGAATTGGATTTGAACATGATTGATTCCATACTAATAAACGATTATCATTTCCTCCACTTGCTAATAATTGTCTATCAGGTGACCATTTTAAACCACATACTTCTTGTCTATGTCCAGCTAATTTACGTTCTTGTTTATTTGAACGTGTATCATTTTGTAAAATAAATCTATCACGTGAACCTGAATATATACATAAATCATT